TGGACACACTATGTCCATCAGCAGACACATTGACCTACAGCCACCCTACAAACGCCTCAGAATCCAAATCAATCACACAGCCAACCAGAGACAGCATCAACCTCAACCAATTCACACAACTCTCCCACACCGACAGTTCACCTCTCAACGACCCTGACCTGATGTAACTTCCCTATGACAAGACAAGTCACAAGTAGAGGTGGTCTTCAGCAGGTTCTGACCAGTTCTGGAGAACCAGTAGCGGAAATTTTGAGTAGTTCGGAGAACCGGCAAATACCACCTCTGACTGGAGATTTTACAGTATCCTTCCCCTGCCACGCCCACCAAGCCATGCCCACAGAACCGGTAGTAAAAAAAATTGAATCCCACCACTGGTCACAAGACTCTCAGTTGACACACCCACACCTGAAGCCCTTATAAACAGAATAACACCGACACTGACATCGCCTAAATTCTGCTGAAGATGTTACCTAACCTGGTAGCAAAACATTCGGAAATCAACCCACAAGCTTGGAGAATGAACCTTCACCCTCATCCTACACCCGAGCTACAGATATTTGTCATTATTGCAAAGATTAATATGGCAGAGACCTGATATAGCCCTGTGAGGGGCAGGTATAATTAAACAGATGGCAGTGGTATCATTAAAAACAGCAAGAGACTGAGAAAAACATTAATGCACTTAGGCCTATAAATAAGCTTTGGAAGATAATCTTTTAGCTCTGTGATAAATGCTGGGTCAAAGTCTTGGATAAGTATTAGTCATGGCAAACAGCTTATGCATCTTCACCAGCAATAGAATACAGGAAATTTAGTTACCTGGCCGCTTTAAAATATATCTGACCACTCAAGGCAACGTGATCCCCTTTTGATTTTGCTTATACAAATATATTGTAAATGGATTTCTGAGAGAAACCATTTAAGACAGCTTGTAACTATTCTAGAAGTAGCTCAGGAGAGAAGAGGTTCAAACTCCACTATGAAATCCCCCCCCCCCAAAACTTTTTTTTTAAAAAAACCTCTTTGTACAGGCCATTTCACACTTCTGTTTTTACTATTGCCTTCCGCTCCATGTTATCTAACTTCCCCAGCTGCTCATGGTTAGGGGAGACGATCAAAGTGCTTCGCTGAGTGTAGGCTTATGCCTTCTGCTTCCTTGAAGTGGGCAGTCATACTAATTCCATTGAAAAAGCCTGACTCAGCAGAACTTACTGATTACAGCGATCATCAATCCCAATAGTCCATTCTGGGTGGCATGATTGAGAAGCTTCAGAAATATTTGGATGAAACTGAATTTGCGGCTCCATTTCAGTCAGGGCTTCCTCCAAGAAATGGCATTTAGGCTACTATGGATACCTTGGTAGATGATCTAGCCAGAAACTAGAATGGGAGCCAACAACTCTACTATTTATTTTAGATCTCTAGGTTTCTTTTGATACCATTAGCAATGGCATCATTCCTGGCCATTTGGAAGAGTTAGGCATTGGAACTCTGTTTTGCAGTGGTTCTGGTCCTCTCTGTTAGGATGTGCCAAGAATGTACATCATTTTAACAAACTGCATCAATGTTTGGTTTGGTGGCTGCAGTGCCTCAGAGAGAAAGTCCATACAGAGAATGGTAAGGACAGCCGAGAAGATTTAGGAAGATCGCTTCCTGTAATTCAGGATACTGCTTATAAGTGCTTTGTGCTCAAAGCATTGTTAGAGACCCGCCCCCCCCACTTCACAGTCTGTTTCTGTTGCTCCCCTCTGGGAGGAGATTTTGAAATATTTCCAGCAGGACTACCAGATTTTGTATCAGCTTTGTTCTTTATACCATCCGTTTGGTAAACTCGTAAGATTCCATTTTCTCACCATGTACATGTATACACCCAAACTAGACTCTTGTTTCTCTGTCATATATGTGGGTATATGCATAATTTTATATTTATTTTGTCACATTTATGTAGTGCATATTGGAGGTGGAGACTCTCTGAGAGCTGTATGCAACAAAATTTCATTTTAATATGTGCCAATTAGTATACATTCATACATTATGCTAAGTCTAAGGTAGAACTGTGGGAGCCACAGTTCCACAGGATTTTGACTTTTTTTAATAGGCTGTTCAAACTTTGGAAGAATTCATTTATAACTGTGGAATGGGGATCACTAATTTGGTGACGATTCTCAGCTCCATATTCCCTACCTGCAAACTCCAAGGAAGCAATCCTTGAAGGCGATCTTATCATTGTAATAGATTGGATGAAGGCAGATGACAATAAATCCAGATAATAGGAAGATACTGTTGGTAAGGAAAAAATTCTGGAAGGCTTACCAGACACAAGGGGTGGACATTGAGCGTCCTGCCTTCAGCTGGACTGCAGTATTTCTCTCATTGTGGAACTACTCAGCTACTCAGATCAGCATTATTTGGACATGTGACAGATTTGGAAGCACCCACCACTGCCAAAAAAGGGACGGGTAACAAGATTTCTCCTGAATAGCTCCCAATCAGTGGAGGGGGATGGATTTAGCTCCCAGGCTCCTAGTATTTAGAAAATGGACTGTTAATTATGTCAATAACAGAGTTTATTTTTGTTTACATTTTAACTATATTCTGATGCTCTTGTACCCTGTAATTTTTTTTGTAGATCACCTGAGGGCTGGAATGAACAAAAAGTTGAGATATAACTTTCAATAATAAGTAAACAAATAAGTGGTTTTAATCATAGGGAATAAGGATATAATTATTTTGCTGCATTCCTCTTAATTACTTGTAAAGGAAAGGTGATTGAATACACTCTAGCTAAATTCTAGGGATGTTTTGCTTCTGGGAGCTAAGTTACAGGACTGAGATGAAATATTAACCACAGTATCAGAACTAATTTCATTTATCAGAAGCATAGGAAATGTTTGAAATCAACTATTTATAGTCTATGATAGCACCATCATTTTCATACTTCTGCTTATGTCACAAATGTTATAAATTGTGAACTTGGAAATGTAGCTTGAAGCTACTTTGGAAATCTCAAGGGCCTGTCTTTTCTTTTGATCTACATCAGCTTTTTAATTGGCAATTCTTATTTCATTCCTTAGTGGACTAAATTAGTGGACCAGTGAAATGCAGTGGATATAATATACTTGGATTTCAGTAAGGCATTTAACAAAGTTGACCATCACCTTGGTAAGCTAAAAATATGTAGTATATAGACAGCATCACTGTTGCTCCATCACTGGAGGCTTTTAAGAAAAAACTGGACAGCCACTTCTCTGGAATGGTATATTGTCTCTTCTTAAGCAGGGTGTTGGACAAGAAGACCTCCAAGGTTCCTTCCAACTCGGTTATTCTGTTAAATTTTGGATATGGATGAAAAATGAGTACTTTGCAGTATTTTGAAGGTGCTAAAAATCATTCCTTTTACCTCGTTCACCTCTTTGGTTTTAAGCAGAGAATGGAGGCCTAAAGAACTGCAAGATTGCGTGAGATCAGTAGCACAAGATCTCACGTTATTGATTTCTCGTGGTCTCACAGTATTTTAGGCCTCCGTTCTCTGTAAATGGAGGCCTGGACGAGATCTGAAGCAAAAGGCTTTGCAAATGGAGGGAAAACCTGAAACATCAAAGCTTTCCCTTCATTTCCAAAACCTTTTGCCATCTTTGCAAAAAGCCTTTTCAGCCCAAAACGGAGCTCTGCAGCTCCATTTTGGTGTGTACAGGTCTCGTCTGGCACTTTGCAGCCTGAAACAAAGCTCTGGAGAAGCAAACCGACCCACTGAAATATCTCATGCTCCCCAAAATTGCTTTCCTCCTACCCAACCTGCTTTCCATCACTAAAACCCTCATGGCATTCTCCAAACTGAAATACCTCACGTACCCCACACTTAATGAATCACACATTTGATTAGCAAATGCATGGGCCAAAGGAGGGAGTGATTGCATTCAAGGTTCGAGATTCACTCCCACGAATTCTTGGGTTAAAAATGGAATACACAATCCCCATTACATTCGTAACTTGAGGACTCCCTGTTCTTGTTTCTTTCTTGCAGAATCAGCTTTGGAAGAATCTGTTTACGGGCAACACTTTCCATTTGAATTAAATTAACCACTTCTGGCATATTATGTAGAATTATGCTGTGTGTTCATGGATGTGCTAATGTTATAGAGATGAGCTCCACAGTGCTGATAACAATCTCCTTTTGTTTAGATTGGGATGTCAAACTTGATTTCATTGCGGGCTGTATCAGCATTGTGGTTGTCCTCAGGTGACTGGATTGGGAGTTGGGGGGGGGCATGGTTGAGATGATCATGGTCGACTGGGCATAGCCTGGGGGCGTGGCCATCTTGATGTTGCTTGCGTGGCCTGGGCTGGGTGGATCTGCTGAGCGGCAACAGTGGCAGCCAGTGGCAGGACCAAGGTGCATCAGGTATGCGAGGGGAACACACTCCCTTAGCGAATGTTTGAAGTTATGTGATAAGCGCCCCCTAATATTTGTGAACGAATCCCAAAACTATGAATGTACCACGGCAGTTGTTTGCTCTTACAAATGACCGCAGAGGCTCTGCAATATTTGCTCTGCCTATTCCCCTCCCCCCTGCGCCGGGTCTTTATAGGCACTAGGCATGTGCATACTGTACTCATCTTGTGAAGAGATAGAGATCCTTCATTTTCTTGGCCTGTTTTAGGGCTTCAGTCCCTGTTTTGGCACTTGGCCGTTGCAGTGTGTCTTTTCTATTGTACATTTGTCTTCTTTGTTTCAGGACCTGATTAGTCTTGGGACCAATAGCTATGGGAAATTTTAATAAAATGACTTATGTGGAACTTCTAAAAAGTATTTTTTTTAAATTGTAAAAATCCTAAAGGCCTCTGTCAATAGAACTGCTTATGGGATAGTTGAAGCAATAAAGAGGGCCCTATCATTTCTCCATTGAATACCCTATGATTATTGGGTATAAATGGTGTTTAAAAGATTTTTAAAATTCTCTTTATTATCTTTAAAAGCTGGAAATCTTGCTTTTTTGCAGATCTTATCAAAAAGGTAGCACTGCAGACATTTGGAAATAAGTCTGGTGATTATCAAAAGGTAACTTTATTGCTTTATTTACCTTTTCATGTAATACATTTGAGATTTTCTTTGCAAGCTAAATACTGTTATGTTAACTCTGCCCACATTTCCTGATTACTTTTCCAGATTCTACAGGTGAAGATCTGCCTGCTGTTTCTTTTTGCTTTGTGCCCACATAATTTCTATATAATTCAATATTTTGAATTATATTTCTAAAATATTTTAGAGATTATATCTCTAAAAGATTAATGAGATTTTAAAAATCTATAAAATGAAAACATTTTTTTGCATAGTGTTTCTTTTAAGCAGATCAGTTTCTTGTAAGCGGTTGACAAATCAAAATAATAAATAAATAAATAAATAAAATAAAAAACACCTTGGACAACTACAAAAATAGGTTTTATTTGTGAAAATCCCAGTGATTTTCAGGCTTTTCCTTTTTGACCACTTTAAAATAACCCTGTTACCAGCATGAACTGGAATATATGGGAAATTGATCTTTTTTCTCGTGATGTCTCTTGATAGGCTCTTAGCTTAAAATAAGTGCCAATTACTTATACAGTATCTTTTATCTATTCTATGTTATTTCTACATTATTAAAACTGTGTGGCTTTAGTTTGTATAAAGTGTTTATTATTTTGTGCCAGATTCAGGCACATATTTCTCTGTGTTTAAAAGATTAATTTTGTGGGAGAAGAGGATGAAACAAAAAAGAAGGGGTTTGCTTCTCAGTTGTCAATGCATCATGGGTAAGAATGAATTATGGGAACTGAATGGGTCTTTCCTGAATCTTCTTGATGTGGAAGTTAAAAAATTTTTCTCCTGCAACCTTCTGCTTTTTGATGAAGGTTTGTGAACTGGTAGAGATAGTCCAATGGAGGTTGTGTGTGGCCCTTTTTCTAAACTATTAGTTGTCTTCTCTGCAATAATGGAGATAACACAATTCTTTAGAGGATTTTGAAGATGACTGAAAGACACTGCCCTTTGAATGCGTAAAAAGGACAGAGGAATTAGACTGAGGACTTAGAGGATATCAATCCACCGCACAAAGCCATAGTTTCTGTCAACTCATAAAACATTTCTATGCCCGTTTTATAGTTGCCAACAGAAAAAATGGTGACAGTTTCATTGTGAGATGAAACTTCTGTTCATCATAAATGATAACCTTGTATCTCGTGATTGTACCTCATACATTTAAAAAGCAGAGTTTAAATTGTTTTAAAAACTATGACTGCAATGTTTATTTCCCCTTTCCCTATATTTTTATGTTTTTACGTATTTTTGAACTATTTTTGAAAGTCAGACAACTGATTAGGAAGGCCTATGCTTGAGTCACCAGTAAGGGTCTCCTTAGTTTTCCATAGTATTAGAGATACTTCTCTGTAAAAGCTGGCATTGGTGTGGCGGCCCTCCATCTTTAGGCACATAAATGTTGCTGCATCCTTTGCTCATTATATAAATGGAGAAAGGTTCACTATCAGCCCCATCCCCATAATTTGAAAGCCTCTGTTACCATGTTTTTATGGAAAGTTTCTTTGAAGAGAGATGTGATAGCAACTGATGTATAAATAGGGATTTATTCTGATGAGTTCTTCTCCAGGCCAATTCTGTTTACATCCAGGGATATAACTGAGTAGTGGAGTGGTAAGAAGTTTTTTTGAATTGGAACAGTTCAAAACGTTCAATGCCAAAATATTTTGACCTTCCCAGTAGTGTTTTAAGGACAGAATAACCTGGTCTTTCAAAAGAATCTCTCTTTTGATCTTAAAAACTGCTGTTTTTTGCTTGAAACACTTACAGAGTACGGTAGTTAAAATTACTGTTTCTAACTCAAAAGTTTGCAAACCCCAGTTTGCTCCCTCCTTGAAAAATGTTCAGATATTTCCAACTTTGTTCACGGGCTTGAGGAAACCAGAGAGTACTACTTTCACCAAATCAATATCAAGTATTTGTGAAGGACTTTTAATCTTGGCCCCAACATACCAGGAAAAAAATAAAGTGCATTTTATAAGTCAGTAAAAAAGGCATGTTTTAAATAAAGGAAATTTGGAATGTCTGAATTAATACTCTGTATTGTGTCTGTTTAACTAATTATCTAAATAATGACAAATAACTGCTTTTTATAGATTATTTTTGTTAAAGAATTAGAGACTTTGTCAGGTAACCAATTATATTTTGAGTAGGTCAGAGAACTGGCAAATACCATCTCTGACTGGAGATTTTACAGTATCTTTCCCCTGCCATGCCCACCAAGCCACTCCCACAGAACAGGTAGTAAGAATTTTTGAATCCCACCACTGTGATATACCCCTGGGAATTTAACTCCCTGTATCAATGTTTCTCAGCCTTGGCCACACTAAGATGGATTCCCAACTATCAGAATTCTCCAGCCAGCATACCACTGAAATTCATACATTTTAAAGTTGAGAAAAACTGCCCTAGATAAAGTACATTTAGAAAAAACATTTAAACCAAGTACAATAGTGTTTTTATTTCTATAGGATGATAAAAAAAGGAATGAAATATGATGTACTTCTGCCCCCAAAGCTAAAAAAAGTACAATAATTTATATGTTAATGATAATTCATTCTGTTGAAATATTCAATTTGAAATAAAACAATACTTTATTTTTAAAAATGCAGTCTGCACCAAGAGACAGCTAGTTCTCTTAGTGGGGCCAGGACAAATTAAACTTCAGTTAAATGTTAATAACCAAAGATATTTCACTTCATCATTTGCATTCACGTTTGCTTTGTAAATACTTGATTCATTTAATTATTCCTTGCTGTTTTCACTTGAATTGGTGGCTGCATAAATTATGTGAGTGCTTGATTTATTGCTCACCTGCTTTCCTTTTATTCCTGCTGCTCTGTGCATCATTTTCCTCTGATTTCCACAGCCTGAAAATGTTGTATTGACTCTTCAGGTAAAACTTTTTGTTATCTCATACTGCTTCTAAAATACCATGAATTGATTCTTAACCTCATCCAACAGAGTTCTTTTCAACATCCTTTTTTAAGCAAATATAATTGTGTTCTTTACATTGTTGATTTCATTTATAAAATACTTCTGTCTCATTTTAAGAAAATTGTATTTACAATATTTGTATTTATATCTAACAAAATTCCAAATTATACCCAAAACTAAAATCAGGGTACGGATATTAATTACTGCATATTGCTGTTGTTTATGCTGGAAGCTGTTTTCTTTGAGGAACTGGAATCTTTCATATGGTTTCACTGGAGTGTAATGACATAAAAGAGGCTTGGGAAAATTTGTGACACTCCTTTCATGCTTTGGTTAGTCTAGGACAGGGGTCTTCAAACTTGACAACTTTAAGACTTGTGGACTTCAACTCCCAGAATTCCTCCTCCAGTCATGTTAGCTTAGGAATTCTGGGAGTCCACAAGTCTTAAATTTGCCAGGTTTGAAGATCCTTGGTCTAGGACATGGGTATCAAACTCACGATGTCATGTTGCCATCACTTGACGTTTCACATTTTTTCTTTTCACGGAGCTGTGGTGGGCATGGCCTGTGCGTGACACTTCTGCGGGCCACCAGTTTGTCACCTCTGGACTAGGACAGGGGCCTCCAAACTTGGCAGTTTTAAAACTTGTGAACTTTAACTCCAAGAAATTCTGCCTCTCAGCCTGTTTCTCTCTCTGCTGGAGCTAATAGCTACTAGCAAGCGCCATTCTCCGTGGTTTATCGGTTCCCCTTTTGAAAGCTACCAGTTGATCACAGTATTGACAGATTTAAAAAAATGCTAAGCAAGATCAGATTTGATTAATCCTTCAATTGGCGATGACAAAGTTCCAATTTTTCCCACACTAGCTCTGTAGGCTAGAGTCGGAAATACTGAAAAAGCATCATAATAGAAGGTGAGACCAAGAAAGCCATTCATTCATTCATTCATTCATTCATTCATTCATTCATTCATTCATAGATTTCTATAGCTACCCACTCACAAAAATGTGGCTCCAACACAAAAATACAATAGATCACAGGAGAATGAATTATAAATTACAACAAGATGTCAGGTGGTTTGGAGCACACCAATGTATATTATCCCTTATGGGACAAGCTCATTTCACGCAGGCCCATGAATGACATCCCTACAGGAAATCCACTTTCCTTTAACTGAGTTGCTTCTCAGTTGAAGCTTGCAATGCTTGAACTTAGTGTTCTGAGATCTTATGGAAGCACTTTTTGCTTTGCTTGGAATCCTTTTTCATGGATCTGAACTGTACTATGTACAGCATTTACTTTATGATGGTTCTCTTGAAGTCTCAGGAAGGTTCAAATATTTCCTTTCCCTATCTTTCCCTAAAAGATCCAGAGTGACTTGCTCAGGTCAGAGGTGGCCTAAGAGTGATCTATTTAACTGGAATCCTCTCACTCCTGCATTGATGCTGCTGAAGTGACACTTTTGGAAAATGGTGAATTTATTAGGGATTCAGTTGCCCTAGTTTCAAATGTGCTTTTGAGTTGAGCTGATAGTTGCTCTCTTGCCCTGATATATCTGTGTGCTCCTATTTGTCCTGTTGCTGCCATAGGAAAGAGGAGCTAGTAGCACCTTCTATCTCTCCTGCCTGGAGCTCAAGAGAGGGTGTCATCTGATGGATGATAGTTCCCAACAAGCCCTTCCGTAGGGCCATCACGTTGAAAATGCCCAACAGCTGTTGCATTCAGCATCACCAATCTGACTTTCAAGTTGTAACACGTGTTGCTTTTTTCTAAACTGCAGGCAGTTTACTATGAAATCGGCTTCATAATCTCAGCTGCCCTGGGAATCTTATTTGTCCTGTTGCTTCCATTGATTGGTCTCTGTTTCTGCCTGTGCCGGTGTTGTGACAATTGTGGTGGGGAAATGCACCAGAGACAGAAAAAGAATGCCAACTGTCGGAGAGGCTGTTTTGCTAGCCTCCTCTTGGTAGTTACATTGATAAGCAGGTAAGCTAAACACAGAGTAAATTTGGGGTGACTGCCAAAGAACTAAATATGTCTATTATTTCTTAATTGAATTATACCCATGTGTTTAGAGACTTCTAATTTTATTTTCATTATATCAGAAATTGTCTTCATGATAGAGATTAAAAATTTCAATTTTTTTTAAAAAGTTGGATTCAATCCCCTTTGGAAAGGCAGAAATCTAAAATTATAAGCCATTTTCTCTTGAGCTCTTCTGAAATTTATTTTGTGGTAAAACACACATATATTTATCTCCTGTTCCAAGCCAATGCAAAAAAAAAACCCCTAAGACATCCTCAAAGAAACATCTTGATAACTTTGCTGGAGAAGACAGGCCTGCAGCAGTCCGAGCAAATGAAACTATGTACTGATTTCTTGTTAAGAACATAGAACAATACAGTTGGAAGGGACCTTGGAAGTCTTCTATTGCAACTGCCCCCCATTTCCCCCAAGCAGGAGATCCTATACCATTGCAGACAAATGGTTGTGCAGTCGCTTCTTAAAAACTTCCAGTGATACCCACAATTTCTGGAGGCAAATAACTACAGGTTAATTGTTCTCACTGTCAGGAAATTTCTCCTTAGTTCTAGGTTGCTTCTTTCCTTGATTAGTTTCCATCTGTTGCTTCTTATCCTGCCTTCAGATGCTTTGGAGAATAGAAACAAACAGGATAACAGAGTTGGAAGGGACCTTGCAGGTCTTCTAGTCCAAACAATTGCTCAAACAGGAGACTCTGTACCATTCAAGACAAGTAGCTGTTCAGTCTCTTAAAAACCTCCAGTGATGGGGCACCCACAACTTCTGAAGGCAACTTCGGTTCCACTGGTTAATTGTTCTCACTTCAAAAAATTTCTCCGTAGTTCTAGGTTGCTTCTCTCCTTGATTAGTTTCCATCCATTGTTTCTTGTCTTGCCTTCTAGTGCTTTGGAAAATGGGTTGACCTCTCCTCTTCTTTGTGGCAGCCCTCCAAATATTGGAAGAATGCTATCATGTCACCCCTACTCTTTCTTTTCACTAAGATTAGACATATCCAATTTCTGCAACTGTTCTTCATATGTTTAGCTTCCAGCCCCGTATCATCCTTGTTGCTCTTTTCTGTACTCTTTCCAGAGTCTCAACATCTTTTTTTTAATAATCTGATAATCAAAACTGGATGCAGTATTCTAAGTGTAGTCTTCCTAAGGCTTTATAAAGCAGTAGTAATACTTTACATAATCTTCATTCTATCCCTCTGTTAATGCAACCTAGGATTGCGTCGGCTTTTTTGGCTGCTGCTGATGCACACTGCTGGCTCATATTTAAGTGATTGTCCATTAGGACTGCAAGATCCTTCTCATAGTTACTACTATTGAGCCAGGCTTCACCTAATCTGTACCTGTACATTTGATTTCTCTTGCCCAAGTGTAAAACTTTACTTTTCTCTACACTGAATTTCATTTTGTTAAATAGAGCCCAATATTCAAGTTTGTTGAGATCCATATGGATACTAAATCTATCTTCTGGCTGTTCCTTTCAGTTTAGTGTCATCTGCAACTTTGATGAGTTCCCCTTCTATTCCCCCACCTAAATCATTTATGAAGATGTTGAAGAGTACTCGGTATAAAATGGAATTGAGTGTGGTATGTCAGCCAGACACTGGGCATAAAATGGAATTGAGTGCAGTATGTCAGCCATCAGATCCATCTGATGATGATGCTTTCTATCTCACATTTTTTTAGCTTACCAAGAAGTAGGTTGTAGTCTGCTTTGCCAAATGCCTCACTGAAATACAAGTATACTATGTCCACTGCATTTTCGTGGTCTACTAATTTGGACACTTTGTCAAAGAACAAAATAAGACTTCAGTATCAGGCTGATTGGTCTGTAGAAGACAAATAATTCTCATTATATTATATTCATTAGTTTCCTTCAGAATCCAAAGTAGTGAAGACATTACTTTCTGGCGTTTGCCCTTGTGTTGAGTTTAATATTTAATAGAAGAGATGAAGATATATACAGATATTAGCACAGTCTCCAGTCTCCTCCCCAATTGTAGCCCTCTGATTTGTGTGAAAGATTCACAACTAGTGGTGGGTGGACATGTCTCTAACATATTAAAGAGGATGCTTCTTTCCAAATCTTCTATGGAAAGACATGGTTGATTTAGCTATGACTTTTGCATTCATATATCTCAGGAATAGCCCTTTAATCTGTACAATCCTAGAAAAATGAGCACAATTATCATCAATCAGTCTAAACAGATGGACATTTAAATCATGGGCCTGTTATAATACAAATTGCTGAATGGACTGCCAAGAATTGTCCATGTTAAATTCATCAAACCATTAAGAATTGTTGTTATTTAGATTTATACCTTGTGTTTTGCTCCAAAGCTTAAGGCAGCTCACATAAGGATTTTATTTTATTTTATCCCAGAAAACAGCAACCTATTGAGGCAAGCTGGACCAATAGAGACTTGTCCAGGGAGTTTCTGTAGCTGACCTGCACTAACTTGGTCCTCTAGGAAAGCAAGACTGGATTCAATTTCTAGCAAAAAGTATATTTGTAACTAAAAGCCAAGTAAATGAAAGCCAGAACTGTTTTTTTTAATAAATTTTATTGGTTTTTAAAAACAAACATAAACAAACAAAACATAAAAACATCAAGCTATCTTCCATAGGTGTACATACAGTGTGCCGGTTGGTTTACAAATTGTTTTGTGCTTCCATTTCATAGTCTTCAATTACAATTACATTGCATATGATCTCATAATGTCAATCAAAAATTAAATACCTTAGTATCATTATTAATCAATCATTTGACTATACTTTTATTCATTCATGTTTTGCAGGATAGTCATAATTTACTTAGTTTATTTTATAACAGTTCATATTATCACCCCAAATCTATCCTAAAATCATTTTGTAGATATAATAAGAAAAAAGTACATCTTTACATCTTTATTATTTTCTAAAAGTCTACATATTTCAGTACTGTATTTTATTGTCTAACCATTGATAGAAAAGATCCCAAATCTTATAAAATTATTTATTCTCTTGTTCTCTAATTTCAAATGTCAATCTACTCATTTCAGCACATTCCAATATTTTCTTAATGATTTCCTCTTGTGATGGTATTTTCTCATTTTTCCAGTTTTTAGCAAATACAATCCTACCCGCTGTTAATACATTTACAATCAGGTATTTCAAGTCTTTACTATATATTTCAGGTAAAATTCCCAATAAAAATATCTCTGGTTTCAAGTCTATTTGTTTTTTTGTCATTTTTTCCAACCACATGTGGATTTCAGTCCAATATTTTTTAGCATCTGCGCAAGTTCACCACATGGTAATATGAGCCACATGTCTGATGACATTTCCAACATTTTTCGGATTTATTCTTGAACATTCTTGCTATTCTTGTCGGGGGGAAATGCCACCTGTAAAACATCTTATACAAATTTTCTTTATATGCTGTTGACATTGTCATTTTATAATTTTGAGACCACAATTTTTGCCATTTCTCTAAATCGATCCCATATCCAAAATTCTTCCCCCAAGCAATCATAGTTTCTTTAACTTGTTCTTCTTCTAGTTTAATTTCTAATAAATAGCCATGCAATTTTTTAATCACCTCTTCATCAGTACCTGTCAAAATCTTATCTAAGTCAGTCAGTTTATCATAGAAACCTTCTGTTTTAGAATCTTTATCATACCTTGAATGTATTTGTGCATATGAAAACCAATTCATCTTTATACCTTGTTCCTCTAGTTTTTGCATAGATTTAAGTTCACCCTTTTCATTCAATATTTCACCATATCTAACTGCTTGTTCCTTTTTGTATATTATAGGATAAGAAAATGCTTCAATAGTCGATAACCAGATTAGAATTTTCAAATAACATTGTCTTTTAAACTTCTCCCAGTTTAACCACAGAGACTCCCGTATATAATGTATTCTAAAATACCCCTGTGTTTTAGTTCCTTTATACCATAAAAAGGCATGCCACCCCAACAACAAATCATTTCCTTCTAATGTCAACAATCTAGTATTTCTTAGTGTTATCCATTCCTTAACCCACATCAGATTTGTAGCTTGGTAGTACAACTCCCAATTAGGCAAACCAAATCCTCCTCTAATTCTAGCATCTTGCAAAAGTTTTAACTTTATTCTCGCTTTCTTACCTTGCCATATATATTTCAACACAATTCCCTTAACAACCCAGTTAGTAACTTAACATGCAGCTATTTACTTAATGACAATGGCAAAAAAGATTGCAAAATTAACTTAACTGACTCACTCAGCAACAGAGGTTTTGGGTTCAGTTGTAAACATAAGTCGAGGACTACCTGTATTACATACACTAAGTTGGTTCTCTAAAACAAATATTAATGGACAGCATCATGTATGGCCACTTCAATATCAGAAAATAGTTCCCTGATAATTTTACTGTGCTATGGAGTCAGATATCTAACAATAGGTAGTACGAATAATTCATTCTTCTGTATTCTTGCTACCTAGTATTGGGGTATTTTTTGCCTACGTGGCTAACCAGCATCTCACAAGCCAAGTCCGAGGAGCCAGGGGACTCATGAACAATAATTTCAGAGACCTTCAGATGTTACTGAATGGAACGCCTGGGGTAATGTACCATTTTCCTTTGGGTGGCTTCATGTTGTGTTAGGAAAGTAGGCGTGCAATGATTCCGTGACTAGATTCAATTTGACATAGACATTGTAGTATGAGATATTAAAATAATATTAAAAGATATTAAAATATTATTAATAGATATTAAAATATCATTAATATTATTTTAAAATATTATTAAAACTAATACTTAACAATTGATTGTGTTGATTGTCGTGTGCACCATTAGTTGCAATATTTTACAGCATTTTTGTTTTAACACTCTTCTAGTAAGTATGGGAATCTTGCCATAGTAAAAATGGACATCTAAACTTTTGAGGGGATACCGATCGCCGTAGAAGAACTGTCTGATCATACATTTTCTTCAGACGCCTCCAGGAAACACAGAAGAGTGTAATCACAAACTTCCACTCAAGTTCACCAGCAGTTAATATTAAGAGTTTATATAGGTGTCATGATTAGGAGAAAAATTCCCAATCAGGATGTGAAGTAGACTGGGTATTGAAGCATCACCTACCTCATAAAACTAGAATTCAAGAGATTTTGTGATGCTGCAAGGTGTCCAGAAATGACAACAGTGCTTAAAGTTATGTGACTATTACTGTCTTGGTATACATGGGTATGTTGTTAATCTTATGTTTGTTGCTTTCTTTTTAGCAAATCGACTATTTGGTGAATCAGTATAACACTACCAAGAAGAAAGCACTTTCTGATCTTAATAGTAAGTATAGATTTAAGAGGCTTCCATCAGATGGAGTTTGTTCTCATACTTTTTGCTCTTCACTTTGCTAAGGATTACAATACTCTCATTGTGCATGAATCCTGCTATCTAAATGTTATCATGTTTTCCCGAAAATAAGACCTGGTCTTATTTTCTTTTGGGCCCCAAAATAAGCATTTGTGCTTATTTGGAGGGATGTCTTGTTTTTTTTTCATCACAAGATCCAGCCAGGCGCCCCACTCACAGGAGGCAACAATTGCATGGAGGCCGACTGCAGCAGTTAGAAGAAGGCAGGTGTCCACAGGGCATCCCCGGCCTGTGCGCCTCAGATCAGCCGCAGGGTGCCATGGAGTGGATGGCTGATTCCACTGCCATGAGGTGTGATGAGAGAGTGAGAGTATATGGGCAAGAGAATGAGAGCACACCTCCACAAGCTCTAGTATAACTCTGAGGTTGGGTCAGATCTCTCTCTCTCTCTCCCCCACACCCTCTGGTGGCAGTGGCAATGCTTTGGTGCCTGGCTGCTTCCCTCTTTCTTCTCCCTGGTCTCCTTCTCCTCCCTTCCTTGCTCCGCTTTTCACCTGTCTATTGCAGGAGAGCACCCAGGTTCTACTTTGACAGTGGCAGGGCTTGGGGGATGGTCAATCCCCATTCATGGTGTGGCCGCAGACCACAGAGGCAGGGAAGGCAGAAGGCAATCCCGCCCACATAGCCAGCCTGGAAGGGTTGTGATGGGAAACGGAGCGGTGCCGAAATCAGCTGAAAGTGTGGTGTTTAAGCCCTGGAGATTTGTTTGAAAGGGACAGCATTGCCTGCAATTTTTGATACTGGGAGAGGCTGCGCGTTGCTTCTAAGCACTTGCTTCCCACAGTCTTCCAGGGCTTGTCTACACAAAGGCAATTTGCTCTGGAAGGGAAGCAGGGAAGAAGTTTCTGTGGGGAGAGGTCCTGCCTAGCACTCAAAACTTCAACGCCACACTTTCAGCTGCTTTCGGCATCACTTGGCTTCATACCCCACCATCACTGCTGCCGCCACGAGAGAGAGAGAGAGAGAGAGAGAGACACAGAGAGAGAGAGACAGACAGAGAAAGAAAGAAAGAGCAAGAGAGCAATCCGATCCAACCTGTGTTTATATTTGTGTTGTGTATGTATGAGAGAGAGAGGAAGGGAGAAAGAGAGAAATCCAATCCAACCTCGGAGAGTTATACCAGGGCTACTGGTGGTATGTTTCCTCTTCCTCTCCCTCCCTCCCTCCCTCCCTCTCCCTCTCCCTCCCTCTCTCTCACACACACACTCCCCCCCACACACATGCACACAGAGGTTTGATAGGTTCACTCTCTCTCTTCTCTCTGCTTTCCTTCCTTCCTTTTACCGTGCAGTGATTGCTGGTTCCCACTTTCTCACCTGCATCACTCTGCATCTCCCTTCTCCCTTCTGGAAACGGCAGCCCTGTTTTCTGCCATTTCTCCTCCTGGAGTCATGTTCCTTCTTGAAGGGAGACACGGGGCAACGCAGGTGGTGAAACAGGGCTGCCGTTTCTGCTGCATGCAGGGCAACAAAAGAAGTTTGCGGAGCTAAAAAGTTCAGTCAGACCTTCCAACTTTGCAAGATCTTTTTTTTTTTTCCCATCCGAAGTTGGAAGGTCTGATTGAGCTTTTTTTATTTATTTTTTAGTCCTACAAACTTTTGTTGCCCTGAAGGCAGCCGCAGAGAATGGAGCTAGAAAGCAGGTTAGTGAAGCCACGCGGTTGCCATGGAGTGTGGTGCGGGTGAAGGTTTGGCATGGGTGGCCCGGCTGAAGGTAAGCTGGGGTGGGGTGAGGGCAGGGGGCAGTTCTGAACCCCTCGCTTCACTTCGTCCTCATCCCCGCCCTTTTCTTTGGGCTGCCGGCCCCCATGTGGCCGCCAACCTTCTTCTCCTTGCTCACCACCATAACAGGGCAGGAGGCTGGGAGACACATTGGTGTTGTGGCCACAAAGCAAGGGGGTGGAGTGGCTGGAGGATGAAGCAAGGTGGGAGATATGGAGCTGCTCCTTGTACCCCGCACTGGCCTACCTGAGCGCCCTGCAGCCAGGCCATGCAGGTGTGGGGTGCGTGGGGCAGCTCTACCCCCCTCTCCTGCCCTTCCTTGATTTTTATGCCTGTGCCTCGCCCCACCTCATAAAACCAGACAGTGGGCAGGGCTTAACTAGGGCTTATTTTGGGGATAGGACATATTTTAGGCACAGGCATGAAAATAGGGCTAGGGCTTTTCAGGGAAACACAATAAGTCTAAAATGCTAAACAGAAAATCAACGCCTAGAGGTGTCATTTAACACAATGAGTTAAGATCTAAAGGAATTTTGGTGGGACAATTGGATCATATGCTAGTTTGTTGTTAAATTGGAAGCGCATAGTTTTGCTTGTGCTAGAAATGAGCCTCCAGTCAGTAAAGAATTTTCCCAAGATTTGAAAATCTTTGGACAGGAGGCTGTTGGCCACTTCTGTGGGGTTTTTTTGGGGGGGGTATTGTTGTGGCTAAATCATCTGTGCAACTAAATTTGTGTCCCTTGTTGCTGGCATATCTGACACGTATAAGTTGAATAGTGTAGGTGCCATTATAGAGTCTTGTGGGAGGCCATTGTTTAATCTTCTTAGCTTATTTACATTGTCTCCCATTATTATCTGAAAGAATCTATCACCCAGCATGTTATTAATTAGTCAATAAAGATTTTTGTAGGGCATAATATAAATATTAAATAGCAGAAGACTGACAGTGACAGGAATTGCTGAGTTAAATAGAATTTATGGGGATTGATACTGAAGACACTGCTTGGGAAGAATGGTTGAGATCCTCTGACTAGAAACTTCTCAGCATTGCATAAAGGCAGTATTCATAAAATACGGTACAACACAATACAGTAGAAACTCTGATCACAAATGCTTCTGACAATGACCAAATCAGGTGATGACCAAAAATTTCGCAAACTTTTTGAATCTGGTCACAGACGAACACTTGGGTGGCGATCAAGCACAGCTGCAGCGATTTCTCCTTTCCGCCATTTTTTTTGTACTTGCTGTCAACTAAAAATATTTCTTTGGTCTTTTTAGTTGCCAGCAGAAAGGGAGTGGGGGAAAGCAGTGCATTCCTTAAATGCTTCAGATAATTGCTTTGGCAGCCGAAGTTGTTGGTGCACAAGATTATTACTGGAGAGCATGATTGATGACTCCTGGCTATGGATGTGTCTCATTGGAAAATATACATCCAGGGGGTGGGGGGAAGACCAGGATCAAGGGTGAAATGAATGATGTGTCAGAGTCAGCTGCAACCAGGAAATGCCAACATGTTAACTCCTAATAAATCAATCTTTTTTACTCTGAGAGATGTGGCTAAAGACTTATGATTTGAATGGAGTGCATGTTGGAGCCCTGACACATGCATTCACAGTCTTGCTTCCATCACGACCAAATCAGGTTGCAACCAAAGTCATGGAACGGATTACGGTCATGACCAGAGGTTCTACTGTATGTATAAGTGTTGCATTTAGTGCCAGAATGACCTTTTTTGTGTGCCTTCAATTTAGTATTGACTCCTGGCTAAACTAGTATCTGACTAGTATCCAATTTGGTCGTTGGCTAAGTTTTGGAAGAGGTTTGCCGTTGCTTTCTTCCTAGGGCTGAGAGAGAGAGTGACCTAGCTAGTTTTGTGTCTGAACAGGACTAGAACCCATGGACTCTTGGTTTCTAGCCTGATGCCTTAACCACTATACCAAACTGGCTATTAGATTAAACACATGTAATGAGAAGGTTCAAAATTTGGGTGATAACAAAGTTATCCATGTTGCAGGTTCAAAAAAATAAACCTGTCACTAGTGTTCTTAAGAGTTAAGATTCCTGGACAAATGGTCTATTTACTATTTAACACTATTTAAAATCAATGACCAGAGTTTGTGTATGCTTTAATCAAACTAGAATTTAATTTTTGTTATAATGTAAGAAAAATAACGGCATGGGTAAGGATTGATAATTTACATGCTGTTATGGGTTGTAGCTGTGGTGTTTAAATGCAAAAGTGTACCCTCGGCTAATTGGCAGTTGATTTTCTTCCCATCATTTCTTTCTCCAACAGATGTTGGGACATTGCTTAGCAGTCGAGTCTGGGAACAGCTGGGAAAGGAAGTATACCCTGCTCTTGATGCTGCCCTTACCATGGCAGGAGGTAAAAGAATCACTGCATTTATAAATGTCAAATTATGGGGATAGGGTTGGTTGCAAAAATTAGATACATGCAATCATCAAGACTGCTGAAAATGCCTCCTACAGTTGTATCCCCAATACCCCAAATGCAATCAATCACCAATGTTTTGCAAAAATAACTCCATAGTTTTCTTTGAAAGCTCTGAAGTGATGCAGAGACCTTCTGTCCTTCTCTATATGGTGTTGCCAACCCCTGTTGAATGCTAGGAATTTTGAAATGATGCCAATATATTTAGATTGAGTGGGGACCGAACATTTATAGTTAGTACATAGCCACTAATTGCAAATTGCTAGACAATGGGGGTGCTTGAGGATTCCCCCTGCCATGTATTCATCAACATTTTTTTTCTAGACAGTCCACAGCTGCATACCAAAATTTTGGCAACTCTGGTCCAATTGTATATTTCCGTGAATGCTTCAATGAACAAAAGTTGGCCAAACTCTGCACGGGAAAGTGTCCATATTTTTTTCCCTCTGTTTGCTCATTTTGAATTGAGACAGCTGCATGTAATCAGTAAGCACACATTAATCTTTTCAGAAAGATGTGCTTAGCTTTGCCCTATGCAGAGGTGGTGTCATCTCCTTTGCGTTTATTATGAATTCATTGAAAGTTAAGAGTTCAATCAGATACGTCTAAACTTCTGCATCCAATTTGTATGGAAGTGACTGTCATGGGGAAAAACAGTAGAATGAAAGGTTGATGGCAGGGGGAACTATGCAGGCAAGGGTTAAACATTCCACTTCTATCTGCTGGTCTCCCAACACTTTATCCCATCACCTCTTTGCTTTGCAGCTGTTGGGAGATTTAATTCCCCAGGCTTGGACTGCTTGTATGCTTTCAGTTGTAGTTCCCATAAACCATACCAAGTGCCAAACATCACAGTTGGTAGAGAGTAGTTAGTTACCTTTCTTAATGGTAGAAACTCTATGTTGGCCATCAAACCTGTTTGCATTTTTCAATCTTTGTCCTGCATTCTTTCTTTTATTTTTCGGTCTTGAAGTCAAAGTGGAAAGGGTCATTAAAGGTAAAATGATCTCAAATGCATTTTGTGAAGTGCTTCCTCTAGTTTCCACTCTCTGTGCAGTTTGTCTTGTCAAATTTCTCTTTTTTTTTCAGCGATTCATTGCTTTGCTCCTTGGTTTAGAATTCAACAGCATTGCTTGACCATTAGTTCTGGCTGCTTTTTGTAACTTATTCCTGCAAATCTTCTTAAATCCTGCAGGACTGTTCAGGAGCAAAAGGCTATAGATTGAAGCTTATAATTCTTTGTACATGTTCCCAGCCCTACCAGCTGGCAGATATGCAGAAGTGATGAAAAATGTGCATTAGTAGCAAGCACCTACCATTTGTTTATACTGTAGGGTTTTTGGCAAAAGGGGATGTAGGACAAATAACATTTGTAATTTGATTATTATTTCATTTATTTTCGACCCAATATTGGGTGCATTGCATTTCAAATTTGGGTCTTAAAAGAGTACTTTGGAATGTATGGGAACACAGACATCTGCATCTATCAAAGTGTTACCTTTTCCCGGGATTGCATGGCTATCCTCTGCATTGTCCTCTACAAAGATATAGCTGCTGTAAAGAGTTGTAGGTAGATACTATGTTTGCAATTCCATACACCCCAAATAATTCTTTTAGAAAAAAACCTGAAGCACTGCACTGTTTAATTGATGTAGCACTTCAAACTTTACAGTAGTTAGACAAAACAGCTTGGAATAGAAATGTTCTAACTGCAAAGGGTGCTGCCCCAATTGCAGCACAGTTGCTACAAGGTTGGAGTGATCTTCCAGGAAATGTTCCAGTCTTAGATCAAGAGGATCTGACATATCAGACGTTGTCTGATCTCAAAATGGAACATTCCAGTTGCAAACTGACAGTCCATTTCAGGACTGGGCCATTTCCAGGATGGTGGGTCCAACAAAAGCAGGGACCCTTTATTAATATGAACTTTGTTCAGTTAATATATCCACATGTTCAGAGAAATCAGAGGGAAATATCTATGTGCCCTTGCAACAACGGATATTCTAAAATGCTTTAGCTAAGCAAGTTAAACTTTGATGGTATCAAACCTGTTCAAATACTAGTTTATGCTTTACTCTTTCAGATATGATGTTTAACTTTGAACAAGAAAAATGCAGAGTTTAGACATTTTGAATAAAAACTACCAGATATGTGTATGCCACTTTGTAAAACTAAGCCACGTTATGCAGATTGTAATGAAATTGATCTTTTTACCACTGTAGCTATTAGAGAGACGAAAGAGGCACTGGAGAACGTGAGTGGGTGTCTGGAAACGCTACAGGAGGGCACTGAGAAGCTGCACACCAGCCTGATGGATGTGATGGAAGACTTGATAGATACTCTTAATGATTCAGCTTGCACGGCTACCCAGGCCGCTTCAACTTGCAACCTTATCAGAAATTCTTTGAAACAGCTAACCATTAATGCTAATTACAGCAAGGTAAGCTATACTCTCCATGCTTCTGTAAAAAGATTGTTGGCTTCTTTGTCTTCAGAAGAAAGATAGGGCTTACTTAGCTGAACATTGAGAAGATAGAAAACTCATACACTGGGCCAACAATATAGATTTTCTTGCTGTGCCAACTATTTATGAGATATCTTAAACCAGAAAAATGTGGACTTTTAGAGCATCTCATGTAGAGATGATCTATACTTGCAAAAGAAGGTTTACTTTCAGGAAAATATATCTGTCCTTAAAAACATTTTATTTGAAGGTAGTTGAACTTCTTTTAGATTAATGGACAAACAGTTAGAAAAAAGCCATGGAAGATTATTTCAATATATGATTTCTGCAACAACAAAATTATTTAATGCAGATATTATATTGAGAGAGTCAATACTACCCATTATGGAGGAATGGTTGGTGAAGTTGACAGATTCTGCTCAAATGGATAAATTGATTGCTTTGATTATAAAAAATGATTATCTACTTTTATTGGTAGTTGGGAGTCTCCTACTGACTTCTATAAAAATGAAGAAATGAACTTGTGATGTATGTTTTGGTTAGGTAGGATAGATTATAAAAATAAGAGTAGAGGTTAAAATATAGTTTCTTTTTCTTTGAATTTTTTTTCTTTACCATTGACATGCCATTAGCATGTTGCAAAACTTCTGTATCTGTTAAATCTTACAGTAAAATTGTTCACTTAGGCTATTTTTCTTTATTCTCTCTCTTTCCAAGTGATTTATCTTTAAAGTGGTAGGGTCATCTTTAATGGTTGAGAATGCAATAATGGAGACAGGTGTTTTTTTCTAATCTAATCAATTCAATCTTCCTTTGGTGGGGAATTGGATTAAATTCAGGATCATCTTCCTTTCATGTAAATCTGTCCACTTCCCAACAAAGATAATTGATAGAATATATATATTTTCAATGAACTTTTTGGTTCACTGAAGCTAGATGATAAGCAGTATAGTGCTAGTAGGATATGAGAGTGTCCATTACTCTTTCTGCCCCTAAATTGTCTAAAGCTGCCCAAATTAGATTGAAAAACTTTTAATTTATTTTCTTTAAAGAAAAAACAGTTGGGGAAAATGACACCAATCTGAGTTTTCAGCACATGTAGCAGTAGATGATTGGCTACTATTATGTTGATTGATGTAGACAATCTCTACTGGGTCTTTGGAAAGACGCAAACAATCTCAGAGCATCATAAGCCTCTCTGTTTGTATTACATATGCAGCTCACATGAAAATCAATTTTATTGATCGCTTCTCCATCAATAAAGCCTGTAACATAAAACAGAAAGTGCTAATGTTTCTAGTGAGATGATTGAAGAGTGTCTACATTGGCAAGAATAATGAAGGAGAATTTAGGATGCTTTTTGTGATATTAGGATCATACAATAGCACAATCAGCAAAACTTAAAGTACTTCTTCTACATATTGCAATATTAACTTGAAATTATTTTCCCTTCTTTTAGTTACCAGGAGTGAATCCACAGCTTGCCAAAGTCAACGAAGTCCTTAAAATAGACCTTTCCAATCTCATTCAAAAGGTATGATTGTGCCTGATCAAGGCACATATATTTGGCTACATGTTGCATCCCAAATGACACTCTATTGTTTATCATGTTGCGTTTGATATTCATAAGTTATTTCAACAAGCAGATACTCAAATATGGAAGGTGTGCACAAAGGAAACTCACAGTTTCTCTGTTAATATATTTTTTTTTAGCATTTGGAGCTGAAATACAAAGAGAAACACAATTTAATCTTCTTTATCACAAGGCAACTTACACATGCTGTCAGCATTCCAGAGATTATCCATTCCAGTCAGTAACTCCAAGACAACCATAATCTCAAAGTACTTTTATTAGAATAGAACTTGGTACTTCTGTGGAATTCCGAAACTAAAGTCGTCCCCCCCGACTTCCCACAAAGACCCAACCTACAACCCATCCCCTTTTTCCCACATCATACATCACATGAGCCAATCCTCCTTCAGCCCCAATTCTTGCTGAGCCATTCACAATGACCTTGAATGCTACAGAATCTATTTTGTCTACTGAGCTACTCAAACAACATCAGCCCCCTCCAATCCTCTGCAGCTGTGCGGCAGCTTTTAATAACGATTCCAAAGCGGACACATACATTTTTAAAAATCTTCTATTTATAGCACATACAGGTAGTCCTTGACTTGCAATCATTTGTTTAGCAACCATTCAAAGTCACAATGGCACTGAATACAATAGCCTTCACATTTTATGACTGTTACGTTGCAGCATCCTCATGGTCATGTGATCAAAATTCAAGCACTTATATTCACGATGTTTGCAGCATCCCAGGATCATGTGATCACCAATTGCAACCTTCCCAACTGGCTTCTGACCAACAAAGTCAAAGGGGGAAGCCAGATTTTCCTAACAACCATGTGATTCACTTAACAACTACAGTGATTTGCTTAACAACTATGGCCAAAAGTGATATGAAATTGGGTGCGACTCACTTAAGAACCACCTTGCTTAGAAATGGAAATTTTGGGACTTCTGATGGTGACGTCACGACGGTGCAGGGAAAAGAGGATGGGATCCATTCCTTTGACCTAAATTTTCACATCTGGAGGCTCTCCAAGGGCCCGCTGGTCTTGGAGGGATATGTGGACAAGAGGAGAAGCCTGGGGAATAGCGAGGTGGAAGGCTCGCTGCAACGAAGGGAAACTCCTCAAACCCAGCAAGAAAGTGTCCTGTCATCTTGCTGTGGCAGATTCGAGACAACCAGACATGGATAGGGAAGGGAAGAATCTTGAATATGCTGAGGCATCAAGTGTAATCAGGAGAGCCCTGTGCTGCAAAAAGGTGGAGAATTGCGCCAGAAGAAAGTAATTCCTAGAATATCTACGGCGGAATAGAGAGACTCTGAGGGAGTGGGGTGGAAGCCCGGCAATAGCGGTGATTTGGTGGTGTATGAGCTGATACATAATACGAGGCAAGGACAAAACTAAACAAAGGGAAAAGAAAGATGTTTGTGTTTGATGTTTGGTTGAATAGAGCTGAACAGAAAGACGCCATTTTGACACTGATTGGAGGAAAATCGGAAGATCAGATGCCGTTGCAAGAGGAACTGAGAGAGATGGATTTAGAGTGAACATAGAGCTATACTGCAGAGTGATTTTGAATATAACGCCATTAAGTGACTAACTGTAATTCTATCAAGTATTGGTTCTACTATATATATCATCTATGCTTTTTCCTTACTCTTATTATTAGTGATATTAGAGCTATAAAGAGAGATATAATTAGAGAATCAAATCAATATATAACTTAAGGGGACAAGTACTGAGAAATTGACTACTGCTGTGGATTATACAACAGGGGTATAGAGCTTATATTTATTACTGTGCTATTTAACTTTTAATATTATTCCAAATAGATTTTATATATCTTTTTTCTGATTATAGAAATATAAATTACACTAGACAAGAGTTTAACATATCCTGTATATAAAATATAGACGCAAATTTATTATCTTATTGATTATTATATCTACTGTGTTTCTCATATAATAAGGCCGGGTCTTTTTTTTTTTTTTTTGAGCTCCAAAAAAATGGCTAGGACATCTTTTGGGGGGTGAATTAATTTCTCCCCCCCCCCCCCGCACACCTTTGTCTAGAGTGCCCACAGGCAGCCACGCCTCACCACCAGCCACTCCTAATGGCCAATCATGGTGGTGCACAGAGGGCTCCCTATCTCTGCCAAGTGCCTTTGCTGCAGACCTGGGTCAACAGGCAGGCATCGTTGTCGTGGATGTCCACCGGCAGCATTTCAGCTGCTTCTCGGGCCTCTGTAGCTTCTACAATTCCTGCTGGCGCTGGTGCCTCTCTCGCCAGTGCCGTCTCCAACAACAGTGTCTGAGTCACTCCCGCTTTTTCCCCTGTCCCCGTCCCTGCAACAACAGGGAAAAAAACATTTTTAGATACCGGGGGAGCACCGCGCAGTGCATTTTCGTTTAATCCCGAGTGACCGGTTGGCGTTAGAAGAGCTGAGCGAGTGTCTCTGCCGCTGCTACCCTGGGTGCTCCAGCCTCCTGCTCTGCAAGTTTCCAGAAGTCCCAGTGCGTAGCCCGTTCCTGCATTGCAAGTGCGCCCAGGCCGAGCTGCAGCTGTCTCTTTCTCGCCAGCGCCATCTCCAACAACAGCAGCAGCAGCGGCGGGAACCATGGAAGTTACGGAGATGGCTCCCCCTCCTGAGAAGCACCTGAAACACTTCCACGGTTCCCGCCACTGCTGCTGCCAGTTGTTGGAGATGGTGCGCTGGCAGGAGAGGGACAGGAAAATTCCCCACCATGTTTTCCTACTGATCAATCATTCTTTATTTGGGATCGCAGGATACTGTCTCCAGCTCTGTTCTCAGGGTGAGAGTGAGAGATAGAGAGACTTTTGGCTTCATGCAAGGAAAGCAGCAGAAGTCTATCTTTCTCTCCCCCAAACTCCGCCAGAAATGAGTCATTGTGAAACTTGTCGTGGCATGCAGCCAAATGCAGAAGAAAGAAGCGGAAAGAAGCAGCCCGGTGGTCAGACCAGGCATGTGGGGCAAATTCCCCCCCTCCGCTCTTTCCCCCCTCCCCTCACTACCTCATGTTGTTCACAATGCAAGCGACTCATTGCTTGTGTGTGTTCCTGCACAGCCTGGATTAATCGCTTTGGGGGTGACATTTCTATGCGGACCACCAAAATTTTCTCGTGGATCACCAGTGGTCCCTGGCCCACTGGTTGGCAACCTCTGTTCTAAAACACTAAGTTGGGTTGCTGTGGGCAGGAGGTGAGGGAATTGAGTCATGGGAAATCAAAGAGGGTTCATTTGAACCAGTCAGCTAAAATAAATTGTAATAAATGAATAGATTGTGGAAACAGGACTATGGTATTTGCAGACATTTCACAGAGGCTATTCTGTATAGGTTGATGCCTCTTACATATTAGAGAAGTGTGATTTTCCCCTTCATGTATATGCCTTAAGAACATACCAGCTCAGAGTGTTGAGGAAGAGAGCTGAATTTAAATTGGTCCATGGTGAAGTTTTTGCCTGATAAAAGCCAGTCTCTTGTCTGATAAAATTCTTCTAATTTTTTGAGGAAATAAGGGCTAAGAACATAGATCCACCTATTCTTCTACCAGGCCCAGGGTTCTGCTGATAAGTAGAACCTTCATTGAGCTCATACAGTAGTCAGGATGTTTGAATTTAGTTGGATTCTGGAGTAAGAATGCCTTATTCTGTTTGCAGTTTATATTTCAGTTTCTAAAATTAAAATGGAGCAGTAATGTACAGAGTTACATTAACAAGGATTAGTCTGCCTCTTCTTAAATACAGAAATAAATGTTATCTTTTGTAATTGTGGTATTGCTGGATGTGTTCATTCCAGGGTTATGCAGCATTTAATGATACTCCTGAACTGATACAGGATCAAACAAAGAATATTTTATCAGGTAAGGAAGATTAAGGAATTAATTTGTTGACTGTAAAAGTTGATGTGATTGGAATACAGCACTGAATGGAAAAATGGGAAACTTCCTGTAAAATGAGAAAAAAACAATTAAAATATAGGCCTATTATGTGTTATTAAACAGATACTAGATACACTGTGAGGTCCTTGGTGCTCCCTGACCTTGGTTGTTTTCTTGCAGACATTTCATCACCAAACTAACATCTTCAGCACTGATGATATTGCCTAGTTTAATAATGAAACATCTTCAGAAAAGCAGCCAAGCTCAGAGAGCACCAAGGATCCAACAGTTCAACCCTAAGCTGCAAATATTATCTTCCAATTGATAACACTAAATATATCAAAATTTCTGATTCTGAATTGTTCTGCATTTTACAATCATAGCAGTCATCTAGAGTTGCTTCAACATAATCTTGGCTATTTGGGATTGGAGTGTTTTTGTTCATTATATGAGACATAAAATCATAGTAAAGCTGTGGAAAAATGTATTGAGGGAAGCAATAAATAGAGAGTAGGCGAGTTTGAAAGGAGAATAATATCAATTTAGCTATGTAAACCTGATTCCTGATTTAGGATGTGAACTTGCTTACATCATGGCCTGAAGACTTCTTTTTGAAAAGAACAATTGTAGTCATGAACTCTTAAGATGGAAGTTACTGAAGAGGCAACAACCAAATACGAACAATGCCTGGAGTATGGTGATTCACAAGATTGCTTAGCTGATTCTTCTATAGATCTCCCTGCTTGATGTGTGTTTTTTTTTAGTCCCAGCCTATTTACAATTATTCCCCAAAACAAAGCCGAATCAGGATATTATCCATGAACTCTAATAATAATATTGTTAAAAAGTGGAATTAATTTAACATAAGTTGTGGTTGAGGTACATGGGAGTCTAACGGAGAAAGGCCAAGGAAGGACAGCAGTCTGTCTTGAGGAGCAAGGCTGATGTAGGGAAAGCTTTGGATAAAGCATATGAAGGTACTGAATGTCCTTCTCATCTCTCCATGCCTTGATGTAAAAAGTAAAAATAATGTACAAAGCTGTAGTATAGAATCTATGTAGACAGGTTGATCATGGATTCACTTTATTATCAGTTCCCGGGTACTTCAATTCAAGAAAAGATTGAATATTGCTTTGCACTTTCTATATGAATTAAGCTCCTTTTCAGTAAATTTCCTTTTCATATAAACTTTTTTATATTTATTCCCAAATTAACATTTGAAATCCTTCAAGAACCAGGTAAATTCATTTTAAGGTCTAGATTTGGCCTGTGAACTTCTGGTTGACCACTCCAGACACAATTTTAGTAGTTGATAACTTTTCATGAACTAAGTCCTTGCATGTTATAAAGAAAACCAAAGAAAGTGTTTATTAACCTCTTCTATTTTCATTCTTGCATATGGATCCGTTCTGCCATTATAAGCAGCTGTACCTCGTAAGTTTGAAAGAGCATGGAAGGAATGTATATGTAAACATATGCATGCTTTGTCAAAAAAATAAAATTATTCCCAGAATGCCTTTTTCAACCAGGGAGATGTTAAAAGCAAAGCAATTACTCAGTTATTTTTAATATGCATTAAGCCCCATTGCTTTTGTGGAAATTGCATGCCACATTCTGTCTAGTGAAAAAATGTGTTAAAGGTAAGCTATATATTTAGCCTGCCATTATGGAGAAAATCAGATATTATATCTGCAACCTAATTAATATTGATATGCAAGTCCAGTATTGCTGGAATGTAGATGAAGATGCTGGCCACCTATTTTCTACTTAAATACATCTATTTTCATCCCAAAAACTCCCAGTTCATTTTTTCCCCTCATAATTCCTGGTAGATTTTCTTGAAGACAAAAGATAAATATTTTGAGGGCGTTCTTAAATTTCACAGGGAGACTTAATAAATTGCTTTTAGCAAATCTTAGAAACCGGTGGGGTTTAAAATTTCACATTTTAATACACATAGCTCTTTCTATTATAAAATGTTTTAGTAGAGCTGCCATATTCTTTGCAGGTCCATATCTCCATAAGCAGGCACTATTACCAACACGTAGTATAGATAACATATCAGAATGTTTCTTGCACAAACGTTTATGACATTTAAAAAAAGTAAGTAACCTTGCTTGTGCAGTAACTTTGGATCTGTTTATTTTATTTTTATTTTTTATTTGCTACATATCTCAATTTAGAATTAGACTTGTTTCCGTGTAAATGTAAGACTGGAGAAAAAAAAACCCCAATGAACTGGTTTAGACATGCCTAAATATGTTAATGTGTGGAAATATTTGGATGATGATCAAACAGAGTGATTTTGAACTACAGTTCAATTCATACCATATTCTCAGTAGGGTCAAGACCATGAGAATATCCCATCTCCTCCTCAGACAAGCACTCATAGAGAACTTGTTTTTTTTCTTTCTGGTACAAATGATTGATTGGCATTAGATTTCTTCATCCCATCCCATTGCTCTCAGTGGCTCAGATACTTTATTTCCCAGTTGCAGGTCTTCTTGCTTTCCAGGGTCATCTCACTCTTCTTGCCTCCCTCTTGTATTATTTTCTTCCTCAAATTTCAAAAGAGCTCTTGATTCCTCTGGGCTCCAATCAGACTAAGAGATGCTAAGTAAAGATGGTAGAGAGCAGAGAAGAATTGAGCCCAGAGCATCAGGAGGACAAGTGCTGGAGGCCTGTTTCACTTGAAAATGCTTCTGGTTTCTACCTGCTTTGAATAAGATCAGATGAAATAATAATATCAAGCAGTAAGAAAATACATAAGCAGAATGCCTTGATTTATTAGAAAAGGTAATGAATGAGCAGAATGAATCAGATTAAAATGTTCTAGCCAAATCACTGTAACTATTGAAGTCCCATGTTGTCCTCTTTAAAGTAGTAGAACAAAAATCTTCAAACTTGGCAAGTTTAAGACTTGTAGACTTCAACTCCCAGAATTCCCGAGCTAACATGACTGAAGGAAGAATTCTGGGAGCTGAAGTCCACAAGCTGTCAAGTTTGAAGACCCTTGTAGTAGAATTTCATTTGGCTTTCAGGTTTTAAATGATTAAATGCTTCACATTTTATTAGGTAGGCTTTTGGTTCATGGGAGCAGACACAGACTTGTCTCCTTGGTGAGAACAAGGCTGTTACTTCATTGGAATGAACATGCTGCAGTAGAAAGGTTGCACGAACTTAAGCATTGCATCGGTATGTTTGCAACATTAAAAGCTTGCTTTTAGAGGTGGAATCCAATAAGTCCTTTTTGTTTGTGGCAAGTCATTTTGTGGCAAGCATAATTGAAATCCTTAACATGCATTCATCCTTTTCAGATATAAAAAGTATCTTGGAAAACATTGGTTCAAACATCACAGCCTTTACTAAAAAGCTTCCCATTGAGAAGATTCTAACAGATTTCACGGTATATCTCACTCAGAGTGAAGCGTATGTTGAATATTATTTTCCATTAGTGGAGCAATATGATTTCTACAGGTATGTGCATATTATTTTTGATGAAAAAATGAAGAGGCTATTCCCTAAGTATTATTGAAGATCAATACATGTAAAACTACTTCGAGCTGAAACAAGGGGATGCCTATTATATAGCCCTATCTAGCTAAACTGGAGAAGCATAGCTGCAAGCACAATGCAAATGCATAATGATCTGTAGAAAAACATGCAGGGCAGCAGTATTCAAAGCCAAAACATTTTAGGTCTTTTTTATACTTCAGGTACATTTAAATTAGTATAAATTACATATAACTTCAACTGCTTGTTCTGCCCCAGAGACTGGAAGCACTGGTAATTAGAACATCTTGGAGTAAAATAGAAATAGGCTTCTCGTGCCTAGAGGGAAGACTAATTAATACCTTAATTCCATCCAGAAAATAGATAATCTTAATTATGTTTTCAGTGGGGAAGACAAGAGAACAAAGATCAGATCCAAGAAATAAAGAATTATTATACCAGAGAAGTCTTGGTGAGCAGACAGTGCTGGAGGTGCAAGAGATACATGTTGAGGTTCTCAAAAGGGAGACATTTTCCTACTGATGCCGATGCTTTATTTAACATTTGTATAAACATAATAAGTAGATTTTACAAACCAGTTGTAGATTTCTTCCACATGGAGCAAACTCAGACAGAAACCTGTTGCAAGTTCAGAGCGGAGCAGCGGTCTTTAGTAGCAAGCATTATACACAGCAGAGGAGAGAAGCAGTTTCATTTCATTTTCTTTTTTTTAAACAATTTTATTTGAGTTTTCACAAAACAAAAAGGTAAAATAGAACATCTTTTTTTAGTGAACAGCATGGTTCCAGGTTTTCACTTCTCCATACAGATATAATCTTGATTACATATTCATCTTTCATATTCAGTTTCATATTTTATCGCTACTTTATACATTCTCCATTTGTTTTTTCTCAAATACCTCCCTCAGGCTTATTTTATAGCTTTCTCATTCATTTTTGAATCTATTTCATTTCATTTCATTTTCAAACTTGCCATATCTTCATAATCATTATGCTTATACTTTTATCTGTCCTGTTTAGAATTTCATTATATATTCTTATATCATCATTTTCCAGCAAATTCCTCCACGTTTCAAACATTACAAAACAAGGTTTCCCTTATAGTTACCAGTTAGAGTGTGTCACCTTCGTATCATATAATTTGTTCCCTTTCCGGTCCCAATTAAACATTCAACTTTTGATTAAACAATTATAACATTCAATTCCTAATAACTACATTATAACATAAATCCCTTTTTAATCAGATTACACAAGTTCCTTTAAATCACCTCTGATAAACTTAAAATTTCAAAAAAATAAAAAATAATTAATCTATTAAAATTCATCCTAGAAACTGATATTGATCTTCTTACAATCCTTCTTATAATTCATAGTGAATCATTAGTATGCATATTTTAATATCTCACTTGTTCTCATAATTCATTTCAATTATATTTTATAGATCATTAAATATAATTAATTTACATATTTTTCATCATATCTCTATATTTAATTTAACTGTTAGCAAACATTCTATTAATTAACAATATCAGTTTCATCTTCCACTTCAATAACATATCTTTTGCTATTTCTACATAATTTATTAATATCTAATATATTTATACTATCCTTTGTCACCTTGCAGAATCCTCTCTTAATTTTTATTTTTAATCATTATCTCTGTGTCTTTTAAACAAGCTATTTTCTTTTATTCTTGTTCATTTCCCATATTTCTTTACTTCCTGATATTGTTTGTTATAATTTATTTCCCCTTTATTTTTCTCCTCTTTTTCTCTCCAATTTTTGTCCCCTTCTCTCTTTAACACTTCCTTCTGTGATCCTCCCTTCTGCTTTTCCCTTGTATTTTGTTTGTTTTTCAAACTGTTCTCTTTTCCAATTACCTCCTCTAATTTCCAAATTTTAATTCCCTTTTTTCGCTTCAAGCTTCATTGTCTCTTTTGTTTGTTTATTCAGCTCTTCTTCTCCCTCTGAAGCTCCTTGTTGTTCCTCATATTCCAAAACCGCCATTTCTAGAAATTGTAGAGCATAGCCAAATGATTCCCCCTTCTTTTGCAGCTGATCTTTCATATTTTTTAGTTCCATTTTCAATTCCAGAAAAAGTTCTGCCATCTTTAAACACTTCTAACCAATACTTTATAGCAACCCTCTTCTTTACTGCCATTTTAAAAATCTTTCTCAAAAGTTCTTAAATATTTTAATTCCAGGGTGCCTTGTATTTAAATATTATTTCTGCTCAGCCTGGTCACTCAAGCTGTCCTCTTCTTTTCCGCTCCTGCACATTCTTGTCCGATTGTATCTCCCTCTTCAGGGTGGCCATTTTGACCACTGCTATTGCCATCTTTGGAGAGAAGTAAATGCCAAGCCAAGGACGGGAGATGCGGCTCCCCTCAACCCAGCTGGCAGTTTCCCCCTTCTTCACTACCTCTATGGGTGGCTTCAGCCCCAAATAAAGTAGATCAGGGCCCTCCAATGGAGAGCACAAACTGAAACTGCGGACGATCGCGGATTTCAGCCTATCACTGAGGGAGTCCAACCAGAAGTCCCCCGTTTCATTTTCAATAGACAGACTCAGAGTTCAACATAGCTTCACAGCTGCAGAGCTTAACATAGCTGCCAGGCCTAAGCTACTTCTAGTTTCAGTTTCCAAACTGTCTTCATTGGCTGATTTAGTTGCTATGCCTATTCATTGGCTGGCCTTGTTACCAAGCTCTATTCCAGTTCATGAATATACTCTTGACACTTTAACCATTTAATTTTAGAGTGTATTCGTGAATCTTCATTCTTTTTGTTAAAAAGGTTCTAAAATGCAACAAAAGTTTAAGTCCAATTTTAATACTCTTGAATGAGAATAGGAAACTTAGAGAAATGTGGTTGGCTTTGATTGATCTTGGAATCATCTTTTTGTTACTCTGTCTAGGTGGCTGGGCTGCTTAATACTATGCTGTATGGTGATCCTGATTCTGGTCTTTTTCTCCCTGGGGTTATTATGTGGCACATGTGGCTATGACAAAAATGCAACACCAACAACCAGAGGCTGTGTCTCAAATACTGGAGGAAATTTCCTGATGGCGTGAGTACTTGCCCTTTTAATTTTTTCCCCCAGGTTAAAAGAATTGAATTGCAGAAATATACTTGGAAGATATAATGCAAAAAAGAAGATGTGAAGGAGGAGGAAAACTTGGCCTTGGGTTTTACTGAGATTTGCGTTATAGAACTTCGGAGTTGCACTTACTTTCTGTGTGTATATATGCAAACATCTGGACCAGTCCTGCCCTTTTCTAGGCAAGGTCTTATGGAAGTGGTTTGCCATTGCCTCTTTCCTAGAGGTGAGAGAGAGGGATTGGCTCAAATTATCCAGGTGGCTTTGTGCCTACAGTAGGAGTAGAACTGAAGGCCTTGCAGTTTTTAGCCTGACGCCTTAACCACTGACTCTCTAGTTCACAGGTGTCAAATTCGCAGTGTCATGTTGGTGTCACATGACATTTCACAATGTTTTCCCCATTCACGGAGCTGGGGGGAGGGGCATGCCTGCATGTGACACATCTGGCCCACGTGCTGCCAGTTTAACACCCCAGCTCTAGTTTTTATGTTAACTTATGTATTTAACTAACTTTAATTAAACTAAACATATGTAAATTAAATCAGGTACAGCTGTGGTGCCTGACCCTACCTGCAGCCTAAAGTAATCATAAACTCACAAGAGGTGTCATATTACAGACTTTAAAAATTATGCTGGTTGCTTTAAGCTGGTAACCATTCCAATGACTCATTCATGAAGAGATCTTACTGGTAATCCAAAGCAGCATCTCATTAAATGGAGTTAAATGGAATCTTTTAGTGGCTTCTCTAAAAAGGAGGAATCCATCTTACTTTTCTGTGTAAGTTAGACCCCCCCCTAACAATCTTTTGATGAAACCACCTTTTCTAAATAGTAACTTCTTAAAAATCATCTTGGGAATTGTAAGCAATTAAAAAAACACTGTAAAAGTTACATTACAGACTTACAGTTCTCTAAAAAAGAAGCCTCTCAAAATTTACCTGAAGCTCTGGAAGAACAAAGAGAGATGCCCTTTGAACACTCTCTTAGAATACAGTAGTGCTTTAATAGAATTGTGGAAGAAATGCTAAACATTCTCACATGAGACTCAAAATTCTTGTATTTTAGAAGCTTTGCGTTCTGTCCTGCTCCTGTTTTCACAGATTCTCAAACAAAGCTATTTCAGCAGAGAAGATTCCACATTGTTCCCTCTCCTCCTGTACAGACTTATTTTTGATCTGGAAAATCATTGTATACTTCTGAATGAGTAGATGTTCTTATATTTGTTTTCCATAGTCTAATTTGGCTGTTAAAATACCTACAATATGATGTATTCTTAAAATGCTTTTTCTCTCCCCTCTCCTCTCCCCTTTTTCATCAGCGGAGTTACTTTCAGCTTCCTCTTCTCTTGGTTTCTGATGCTGATAGTAGTGGTCACTTTCATTACCGGTGGAAACGTGGAGAAGTTGATATGTGAATCATTCGATGACAAGACTTTATTCCAAGTAAGGCACTCTATATAATCACGAATTTCCATAACTTTTCTGATCATTCTAATGTTTGCCATGTACTTGTAAAACATTCAAAATACTTCATAAAATATTCTGCACGTTCATACAACATGTGAAGTATGTAAAGTTCATACTTTAATTTTGTGGTAGATGAGCAGTGTTCAATCTCTGGTTTCTTCCATGAAACGCACAGAAATGACAGGTCACTTCTGGGTCATTAGCCACCTCATTTTACTTCTTTCCTTGGCTTTTTCTGTGACTGGAACAAACCCAAGTTCTTGATTCAGAATTATAACCAAGCCACAGTTGGGAAACTTCTGTAGATTGTTAGCTATGCCTGCCCACAAACCAGAAAGTAGGAAGTGACAGCATGCCCTAAACAGCGCCCCCCCCCCCAACCCTTTGGGCACCAGGGACCAGTTCTGTAGCCAGAGGTTTTTCTGCAGACCAGAGGTGGTCTGGTTTCCTGTGCTGCCTGCATCTCGCAGATGGGTTTCACTTGTTTGCATGGCCTGGTTGCTGCCATGCCACGGACCGATATTGGTCCATGGACCAGGGATTGGGGACTCCTGCCCTAACATATGATTTATTGTGGTGCCAAGCTTGAGGTAGATGTAAGCTAGTCATTATTGTATCATCTTTAGAGTACTCCTATAAAGTAGATGGTAATATTATTAGCCATGTATTACAAATGAGGAAACAAGTTTGAAAGAACTTGCTGGAAGAAATTAGATGTGAACTGGATTTCCCATTTGGTTTTTCAATCATTCCAAGTTATTACTTTTGCTTTAAATAACTTCACTTGATCTAAACTAAGTTCCTATTTTGTGCTTCAGTTAATCAATAACATGGCCTCTGAAACACTCTAAAATTGCCACCCTGTGTAATATCACCATTATGTTTAGGAAATGGGTATTATATAATGTAGCCAGTGGTGGGATTCAAATTTTTTTACTACCAGTTCTGTGGCCATGGCTTGGTGGCTATGGCATGGCTTGGTGGCCAAGGCTTGGTGGGCGTGACAGGGGAAGGATACCACAAAATCTCCATTCCCACCCCACTCCAGGGGAAGGATACTGCAAAAT